TATATATATATATATATATATATATATACATATGTATTATATACATATATGCAGCAGACGTTATCGGTGGCGTTGTAACGCGTCGAGTGGCATCATCGGTTCCGTGAGTAACGCGTAACAGGCGGATAACGTGGAAACAACGGATATTGTATTATAGCCCGCAGAGATATTGTACGGCGTATCAAAGCGGCAACCTTAGTAACCGCGTGCTTTGCGTAATTTCCAGTCATTCACAGACCCGTGAGGCCGAACGAACGAAACACCCGGCGATCGCGCCAGCCGAGCTTCGGCATGCGTCTCTTATCATTTTTTCGTAATCTCGCATGAATAATGAACACTTTGCGGAAACAATTGTTGTTTCTTTTTTTTTTTTTTTTGCGCCACATCCAATCGCCGGGACGATAAGGCGGAGTCGTTCACCTCATCTCCCGGGAGAGTCTCAAAAGTTCAATTGAATCGCCATATATATATATATATATATATATATATATATATATGTATATTATATATATATGTATTCGCAGTCCCTTTATTAATCTCGAACGTATGCAACCTTTCTCGCGAGTCTTCCACGGCTATACATCGACATTTACGTTGTCGTGTCGTTTGTGTGTGACGCGAGGATAGAATGTGCGCGCACAATCGCGATCTCCCCCTCGGAAGAGGATTTGTCCTCGAGCCCGGCGGACAAGCCTGAAAGGATCTTGAGGCGCGCGTGGCGCGGTTTTGTCCCGCTTCGTTTCTCATCAGCTCATTGATGTATCTTTTATACACGTGTGTACACAGCTTTTTCGACGATCCGCGAATGATGACGAAACGCCATAAACGGGAGAGAACACGGTCGTCAACCGGGAAATAAGTGAATAGAACTTTTAAAATTGAAAGATTAATAGATCCGCGATCTTTCTCTTTCTTCCTCTCTCTCTCTCTTTCTTTCTCTCTCGATCGAAAGGCCTAACGCGAGCCTTTCGAACAACCAGATTAGATTTCACACAGATGTGATCCCGTCTCGAGAAAAGAAACTTCGTCCAATCCTCGGCGCGACGAGCAAACGAATAAAATCGCTATCCTCGCATTTTTTAAATCGCGTCTTCGTTTCACCGACGTATTTCAATCTCTCGCTGCCGGCGCGTCGGGAATGCGAACGATTGAGACGATGAAATCCGACTGAAAAATTCTAATTAAGATTGTTACCGCTCGGCTGTTTAAAATCGTCGAACGTTTGTCGGGAATCCCGACGCAAAAAAAAAAAAAAAAAAAAAGAAGTAAATCGGATCTTTTTAAAAAAAAAAGATACGCGCGGGTCTCATCGAGTATTCGGCCGTCTAATAAACTTGCGCGAGTCGTGAAAGCAAATTTGTCGGAGTGTTCCAAAACGAATATGCGGTTGAATTCGCGGCGCAGTCACGTTTCTTATTATATACATTCGCAACGTTGGGTGCAGCAACCTAAAACGCATTGTGAATTAATAAGCCATCTCTTACGCAATAATATATGAATCATTATCTTCGCATGTGCTG